CATGAATAACATTTGAAAATTGTATTGAACATTTTGAAAAAAAAATTATTTACTTGCCAAAGAATCAAAATGTACCTTTGGCACTCCAAAGATTGAATACTTTGGCCATTACATTTTTAAGGAGGGAGTTCAAACTAAACCTAACAAAATAACAATGGTGTAATAGTGACCCAAGCCTAACAATCTTAAATAATTAAGAGGATTCTTAGGCCTCACTTGGTTACTACATGGGGTTTGACAAGGGCTATGGACAAATTACAAGGCCACCGATAGATTTGCTCAAGAAGGATGCCTTTGGGTGGAATCTAGTAGCTGAAGCAACCTTTGAGCAACTAAAAAGGGCAATAACTTCCACTCTAGTGTTGGCTTTACCAAAATAGGATGAGGAATTCACAATAGAGGCGAGGCATCGGGTAATGGAATTGAAGTTTTGTTGATGCAAGAGAGGCACCCCATATGTTTTATGAGTAAGCTTCTTTCACTTAAACATTAGATCTTATCGGTGCAAGACAAAGAATTAATTGTTATTCTTTTGTTTGCCAAGAAATGGCATCGGTATTTGATGTATAAACATTTCACTATTATAACTGATCATCAAAGTTTGAAACACCTCCTAGAATAAACAATGGACACTAAAAGTCAATTCACTTGGTTGGTGAAATTAATGAGATATGACTATGACATAGTGTAAAAGAAAGGCAAGGAAAATCGGGTAGCGGATGTACTATCAATAATGCAATTATATATTCTAGCATTACCCTCAATATCTACTGATTTGCTAGCTAGAATTAGAAACTTATGGGAGGAAGATTACGTGTTAAAGACATTTATAACATAGTTGTAAACTCCGGGGAAACTCAATCCAAGTTCAAATGGTAGAATCAATAGTTATGAAGGAAGGAAAAAGCTGGTAGTAAGAAGAAATACCGAGTTAAACAAAGAGCTCATTGTAATGTCCCATGATTCTAGTGTTGAGGGTCACTCTAGGATTAAGGAAACTATCAAAAGGGTAGTTTCACTATTCTACTAGAAAGGGTTGAGAAGAGGCGTAAGGGAATATGTGAGACAATATAAGATTTGTCAAAAATGCAAATATAAGAATGCGACATCTCCGGGATTGCTTGAATCCATTACCGGTACCTACAACTATTTTCATTGACATTTCCATGGATTTTATAGAAAGGTTACTTTCTTCTAATGGTAAGTCGGTAGTGTTTGATATGGTGGACGGAGTTGACTAAGTATGCATATTTCATGGCTTTATCACATCCATTTACGAGCTTACATAGTAGCTCAATCTTTTATGGAACATGTGTTTAAGTTACATGGTCTATCCAACACCATTATGTCGGATAGGGATTATGCTTTTCTCAACAAATTTTGAAAGGAATTATTTGCTTATCAAGAAGTATCATTACACTTTTCTATAGCTTATCATCCTCAAATGGATGGTCAAAATGAAGTTGTTGATAGGTCTTTACAAACCTATTTGAGGTGCATGTGTTATGACCTTTCAAAGATTTAATGTAAATGGTTGTGTATGACGAGTTTTGGTACAATACTTCTTATCATTCATCTATTTAGCAATCTTCCTTTGAGGCTTTGTATAGATATGTACCTTCTATTCACCTTCCTTATCTTCCTAATGATTGTAAAGAACCAATTATGAATAAGCTCTTATAAGATAAGGAAGAGGTGGAAGCTTTATTGAGAGAAAATTTGATTAAGGCTCAAAATCATATGAAGATACAAGTAACTAAAAAGAGGTTTGAAAGAGTGTTTTAAATTGGTGATTGAGTTTAACTCAAGCTCCAAGCTTATAAGCAACATTTGGTGGTCTTCGGGAAAAGTCAAAAATTAGCTCCCAAATATTATGGACCTTACCGGGTTGTGGATAAAATTGGAGAATTGGCTTACACATTGCAACTTTCTCCATGATCCTTAATTCATCCCATATTCCATGTTTCTCAACTTAAGCCTACTTATGGCAATGTAATAGTACAGCCACAACTACTAATGACTCTACCCAAAGAGGTTCATCCAATTTCTATTTTGGATAGGAAGATAGTAAAAAAGGGTAACAAACCCGCCACTAAGTTGTTAATTCAATGGTCTAATGGTTCCGTAGCTGAAGCTACTTGAGAATATGCCTTTGAAATGGCTAGCTATTTCCCCGGAATTGACTTTGAGGTCAAGGTCCTTTGAGGGAGAGATATTGTTAAGCACATTCGGAGAGGGCTTGAAGATTGCCTAAGCTCGTTGGGAAAATATATGAAGGCTTGCGCATGGGAAGAATAAGTGACCACACATAAGGAAAGTTAGCTTATGTAGAATACGGTTAGTGAGTCGTTAGATTAGTTGTCCTACGTGGAAGTTAGTTAGTTACCTGTTAGGAAGAGAAATAAACACTCGTATAAATCAAGAGAAGTAAAAAGTGAAGGGACTGATTCTTTTGGCATTCAATCCTTTTCTATTTTCTCTCTGTAATTTCTCTTCCTTTCTGTTCTGTTTTTATTTGATTTATAATTCTAAACATTGTATCCATCTTAATAAGAGCTGTTCACATTGAAATAATCTAAAATATTCTGAATTTGGTTCCAACAAATTTGTTTCAAGATTGTCCCTTTAACATGGCTAGGAGATCAGGGAGATTGGAAGTTTTAGAGTTGGAAGAGTACTCATAGATCAAACCGTGCTCTGATATCAAGTTGGAATAGCAAAAAACTAATTATATTGTATTGATGTGTTCTTGTTAATTACCTACGTACTATAAGAGAAACATAAAATTAGTATTCCTAACTGTTTAGCTTATCTAATCAACAAACTGAATAATAATATAACAATGTACACGTTGTGATTTATTCAAATGAAGGAATTATTTAGTATTATCGAAAATTTTATTTTTTTATTTCACATAAAAATGTAATTCATAAACAATTTTTAATTCATATCTATACAAGAAAGAGAAATATTTCTCCTTCAAACCTTACCAAAGAGGAGTTTCCAGGGAAATAATCTTTTGATTCCTTTCTTTATTTTCCAAAAGAAAGCATTGCCGTTTATGTTTAAGTTGGGACATCAGCTGGCCATAGTTGGATATAGCCCAAAACAGCTTTGGTAAAATCATACATAAGTCCTCTCAAATCAAGATTTTAACGATTTTAAGGATTTGAGTAAAGATATCAATTCCAATTTTGTGAGGGATTTGAATTGAAGATTTGGATCCTAAAATACTTCATGATCCAAATGGAGATTTTAGTAACCATAGTTGATGATTACTTAAGATTATGAAAGGAACATCCCTTCTAGTTTTAAATAGCTTCGATTTCCTCAAGTCCTCTTCTAAACTTATAATACATCATTTAAAATTAAAAAAAAAAAATCTTTCTTTTCCTTTTTTTTTTTCCTTTTACAAAAAAAAAAAAAAAAACTAATTTTATTGTCACTTCTTTACCATCACACTCTTTTTATCGTGATCATAATTTATCACTAGCATCATCATTGCTTTTATACTTAAAATTCAAATTTTATCAATAAATTGACCCTCATATATAAAAATTTACTCAAAAATAAATAATTTAAAATTTAAGTAGTTCAAATTGATAATATAAATTTTTTTAATAGTTTGAGAATAAATTATACTATCAAATGGAACATGATATAGGATTTTAAGAAGTTTTACCAAAATGGGAAATTTTCAATGCTAACTGCAGTGAATCATAACTTAAGACCTCCTTCCACACAATGCGCTGTATAGTTAAGGACCTGCGTTACATAAAAGACCATCATGGGTGGTCGTTCTGAAAAAAACACATTGAACAAAGTACAAACTGTAAGTTTAAGATTTCTAGAAGCTTTGATGTTAGCAATCAAATCTATATGTGTGGGAGAGTCTGGCGCGAAAGTGATACGACGACATGTTGACACACCCATATATATTAAACAGTAGGTGTTGGATAGAGAAGTTTGATACCAAACTAGCTAGTGTTGTGAGCAGTTGAGTTGGTAACAAGATCAATATTTTTCTTGGAGGCTTGGAAGAGGACAATTATTCTTTTACAATCACTATCTCTCCAATAAGACTATCAAAATATGTGTGTGTGTTTGTGTGCTGAGGGTGGGAGGGTTCTTCAGAATTGATCAAATGATTGGTCAAAAGACTAGTTAAGATAAAAAGAACTAGTATTGTAATTTGTAGAAGCAATAGTCAACCAACCAAGTAGAATGGATACAAAGAGCAAGAGGAATAGGAAGAGTAGATAGTACTAGCAAGGCGAAGTCGAGTGATTGACATGTGGGTGGTTGAAATCTAAATGAATGGAGCTTTAAGCAATGTTTGGTGTTTAAGTAGAAGAAATTTGAGAGAGAGAGAGAGAATTCATAGGTTTTTTTTTTTTTTTTTGGCTAGAAATCAGCTATTTGGAATCAAAAAGTTTTCACCCATTCACAATAATTTGATGTTGGTATTTATAGTAAATTGAAGATGATACTTGACCGCTAAAATTGTGTCACGTTTTCTATATTTAGACGATCATATTTAAATTGAGGAAATTATGTTCTTTTGAAATAAATTGTTATCTATATTTATACAATCATATTTAAATTGAGAAAATTAAGTTTTTTTTTAACTAAATTTCTTTAACTTGTTAGCAAAGGTTAAATGAAATAACAATTGAGTCTTCTTTTAACAAATCATGCTTTGAAGTCACCAAACAACTCTTTTTAATGCATTTCAAAGACAAAACATAAATAATGGCCATGTCGGAATATCCTTATCCATCCTTAGGCAGTCTAAAATTTTGTACTGAATGAGAGCCATTCTTAATCTAATTCTAATATATTCTTAGTCTAATCTATATGTTATGTGGCTTGAATTCATGCCAAAACCAATGAAAATAATGTAGATTAGCATGTAATAAAATTAGCTAAATTATTTAATTAATTTTAGAGAAAATTTGGGCATATACAAAGGAGGAAAAAAAAATAGCATTGTACTTTCTTTATTTAGAGTAATAGAATTCGAATACAAAACATTCAGCAGGCTTGTACTCGGGAGCTGTGTGGCCTCCACCCTGAAATTAACCAAACAATGAAGTAAAAAGAAGTTTGCTTGAGAATAATAAATGCAAGAATTTTCTACGCAGCAGAAATGTGAAAATGTCCAAATTCCTTACCTTCACAGTGGCAAATGTCAATTGATTAGAGTAAGTCCTCGTGTATCTGCTCAAGTCAAATATTGAAAACAATCATTTTTCTTTATTTAGACGTAGGCTCTTCTACAAATTAACAAGAGCTAGCTTAAAAAGTTTTATGGGTACCACGCAAGTCAAAACTAAGATTGATTTGAAGGACATACCCTGCAACTTGACCTTGAAAGTGCCATGGACGCCAGTCATCAACAATAGAGTAGTTTAAAGATCTAATCCATGCTTGAGTTCCCAAGAATGGTATCATCATATCATGATCGCCACTATTCAATTAAAGGAGAGACTATATCAATCTCAAGGGGAAAAAAATACTACAGTGTCGAATTCAATTAATTGAGAGAAGAAATACATTAGTTTAACCTGTAGATTAATCTGCGATAACCTTTTATCCCAAGTTCTGCATGATACTTAATGCTGCTTTGAATTTCATAAGTGTAAGGAAATTTATAATCGCATCTTTGCCACTCCCCTATACTTCCCTGCATCAAAACAGGGTTGCCTTATTTTCTTAATGATTTCTTGCTAGCTACTTGCTGGTTAAAATTCTTCCTGCCATCAGTCTCATACCTTTCGCACATGGAGTGCTTTCCGGACATTATCGTCATTGGCCCAATAAGTAGCAAGGAGTTGTACATAATCCGATAACAATTTTCAAAATGAGGAAAGGACAAGAAGACAAATTTGTATAAATTCATAAAAAACAATACGTTAATATTATCTGTTCTCTTGTCTTCCTGCCAGCTTTCATATCATAACCTTGTGATATAGTGACCTAAGTAATTTGTTAAATGATTTATGCTTTAAATATTATTATGTCCTGTCTTAGGATGCACGTATACTGCATATCAGAAGGAAGAGAAAAGGGAATTACGTGACATCCAATTGTAGGAAGATCAGGTTCAAAATGGAGGAATTCTTGAGAGTTCTCATTGGGATATCTTCTCTTGCCCAACTCTGTCGGGCGTGGGGGAACAAGAGGACACTTGCGTTCCAAAATATGTGACCCTTCAATATCTGAAATGCACTGAGAAAGAAATGGAATTACATGCATTAATTGACTTATGATTATCTATATAAATGTGCGTTAATGATGAGTTCCAAGGAATACCAGGGGAAGGGGATTCACAAAATGTACGTTATGGTCGAGTACCTTATCAAAAGCATCTACACTTTTCAAACACTCTGCATTGTTCGGATCTATCATTTGATATTCTCCTCGACAACTTTTCTCCAATGATTGAAACAATTTGTGACACTAGTTAGCTAGAAATAAGTCCGAGCTCGTAAGACATAATACCAAATGGATCACCTCGTAGAGTTCATCAGAAATAAGTCCCATTCCATGACAAAATGGAACCTTTGAGTTATCATCAAAAGTAGGATCAGTAACAGGGTTTCCTAGGAGGTATCCCTGCAACCATACAAATTAAACCACCACTTCATCAGCAGACCTCAGATGTAAGAAGTAAAAATAAATTCTTCTTTTCATTTTATTTTTTTACATATATAGTACTCCAGTTATTTTGCTAGCAAATAGGACTTTCTTTTATGGCAAGATCTAATGTACCCTGAAGTTACACAGCAACTGTAACAGTAGTTTGTCCCATATCAACTTGAACTTACCATTGACCTTTGGATAGGAAACCTCCAACTCTTTATTTTTTTTACTCACACACCTAAGGATTCTAGCAGAAATAGTCTATTAGGATTTAAATCCATGACCTCTTGTTACAAGAAACCACTATCATTGGATTACAAGCTCTTTGGTGACACCTCCAACTTAGAATCTCAAATTTTCCGTTACAAGTTTCAGTCCCGAATTTTTAAGCTCCGCTGCCTCTATCTCTCTAGAAATATCAAGGAGGTTGCTAAGACATTTTTAGCTAATTCTCAATGACAGTGGCATGAGGACAGTTTATTCATCAATTTTTTGTTAATAAGCATTTGTGTGAGAAGGGTAAATCCATGAGAACCGTGTTATGCCCCGCGCAAGTAACATGTGGATCGGATCAGTGATCATTCTAGCTAATTCTCAATGACATAATCTTTTGTACAAAACAGCTAGACTGTGAGATAATTTCAAACAAGGTCAAAAGTCCACAATAGACATGGTGGCTGCTTGTCCTTTTCATATGACATAACAACATTTCAAACAGCCAAAAACACAATTAAATTAAATGGTTCATAACTTTTTCTTGGGCAACGTATGTTGACATAAGTTCAGAAGCAAGAGCTTGAAATGGTCAATTTGTTATCATACCATTAGAAATCTTTTGAACAACAGCTGGGACGATCTTGCCGGAGTAGGATTCACCAGCAATGTAGGCTGGATTTGAGAGGAATTCTTGATGATCCATTAACCACTGTATAATACAATCAAGACATTGATCTATTGTAACAACATTACCCTAAAACTATAAAAAATCCTACATGAAGGAAATCCATCCCTTTCCAAGGTTTTCCATCCATAACTCCACTCAAATTGTACCTTTTCGTTGTCATTTTGTAGGAAAATTAATGTTTTCTACTATGTAAAATTAGTAGGTGCAAAACTGATACTACTCCAATAGTTTGGAAGAAAATTCGAGGTTTGCCCTTAATTAAATCAATTTACAGTTCTGCCTATCAGCCGTAAAAAGGACCAGAAAGTTGTACCTTTCGAAGAAATTGGACAGCTTGCGAAACTTGTTTAAAGTCACTTCTCTGAAAATCAACCGGGGATCTTGCATAGGAGAATCCAGTGGGAACAGGCAAATCTAAAAATATCATGCTGGAAACCTGACAATTAATCCCCAGCGCAGCCAAGTATAAGATTGTAAACAATGCAATGCAATTACAAATATAGAAATTCCTATTTGATACAAAAGTCATCACACCACCTGTGTCCATGAGTAAGGAGTCAAGACCAATGTAGGTAAGCTCCCATTGTATTCCTTTGCCTCGAAACTGATTGTACCTATGCGTATAAAATATAAAAAATTCTAGAAATTACAGTGGACTTGTTAAACCCAACGATAACTGAGAGAGCTGCAGTCGCTTCGCTTACCATTTTTAAAAGCAAGAGCGGTAAAAGAAGAGCAACCAGGGCCACCAGTTAGCCAAAGCAAAAGAGGGTCCTCTTTAGAATTCCTCTGGGACTTGATGAAGTAGTAGAAGAGCTGCAGATCCTCTGCTTCATCCACACCAACATATCTGATAATTCCACACACCCACTATTACATGCATGTAATTTTTATCAAAATCACATTAATTTGTGGAGTAATCTGTAAACCAGTACAAGGGATGGTCTAAAGCTCACCCGGTTTCATGGTGGAAGGGAAGCGGCCCCTGAAACCCAGGAAGAAACTTGACTATTGAGTGGGAGACAGCAGGTTGTAACCAAACCTGCAATGAGAAAAGAAAAAGCAAGCAGAGTTTGGCCATTGATTTTGATGGAGACACTGTTGTCTTGAGGTATACATTGAATTATGTATCTTAATTTCTTACTCATCCTCTACAATCAATTCATATTAAAATATACCTAATTGTATAATTTACTTATAAATATATCTTGTGGGATCCTTTCCTCTTAATTTAACTAAACCAATAAATTTAAAAACGCCTGTCATTGATATGCATGCGTGCGTGACAGCAAATTGACTCGTACTTTAATGATTCCTGGCTTCAGATTTACCCATTTGATTATGCACTCGTGATAGCGATTTTCTGTTGGCATCTGATGGGGGCTGCAGATGCTACCTTTGCCTCAGTGTGAACAGTGGCCATCAAGCCAATAGTTCACTCGGGCAGCACAAGCTAGCCATGAAGGCTTCTTAGTAGAAAGAGTCAACTATAATGCAACTGATGATTTTGGTTCTGCCAAACACAGCAAATTGTTTACACATTAAGCAGTTGATTATCACTATTGAACTTCTTACCTGGTCTCAGGCTAGGCTAGGAACATGCACGTATCCAAAACAGGTAGGAGATAGTGGTGCATGTTTTACGCGTAAAGTTGATGATTTCTAGCATTAGCATGCAAAAACACTATCAGTAAGTGGTTCATGAGTCATAGCCATTCGACAGTAATTGTGAGCACCGTGTAAGAATAATGCTCATGTTTACAATGCGGGATTCACATTTGGTAAAAAGGACTTGATTGATCCAAGTCGTATGAATATGGCAAACTGCATGTTTAGCAATTCATCTTCTGACTAGGCTTGCATTGAAACAAACTTAGTCGATTCAGTTGAGAGAAAATGCATTACGCAATTTCGATCAGTCAATATAGAACTAATACAGAAGAATAATCCGCTTAGAAGAATAAAAAAAAAAAGAAAGCCTCAAAACTAAGTAGAAATATGTGTAGTCAGAAGAGGAAAATATGTCCGAATAATTACAACCAAGAAAAGTCAATGGTTAAGCAATTCAAAATTTGCCACCTATTGAAACAAAACCAAAATCGTTTGTATGCGATTCGCATTGAAGGCTGTGCCTATAGCCTACCACCCACTTGACATTTTCAAACTTACAAAACCCATGTTTCTTCTTGCCCAGCAAAGCACAATCCCTTGCAATATTGCCTGCATATGACTTATTCAACACTTCTTGGTCAAACACATTGCACGTAAGCATTTTGAACCCCACCAAAATTCCTAAGATTTCAAAGAGTCGAATTAAGTCCAATAATACCCTACAAACAATTTTTGCCATAAATACTATCACCCACCTTCATATTTCCACACACCAACAAGAAGCACCAAAAAGCTCCGGCAAAAGAAACACATTCAAAGACATCGTTTTTTTCTTTTGTTCTATTCTTTGAGGCAATTTTGAGTGCATTTTCGAAGATGAATTTTACAAAAAGAAGCTACTTTTTAATCATTTTGTCATCTTAGTTGGTGTCTTAAGCCAGCAGCTGGTTAGTGTGCAGGCAGCAAGGATGTTGTCGGAGGAATTTGCAAGCGCAAATCATTTGGTGACATACCCTTCGGTTTATGAGAAGGCAAAGAACCATATGGCTTGTTGGCTAGGACGGCTGGCATCTGGGCCCAGCCCCAAAGGCCCTGGTCACTGGTTCATTAATGACATGAGTGAAGGGTACCATAATTCTTTCTGTTTAATTTCTTCCTTTTAGTGTCAAAATATGCTTTAGACTTTGTTACAGGATTACGTGACACAATGCAATTAGTAAGAGAATTCTTTGATTATATAAATGATCTACTGGATTTTTCGTTTCTTAAGTTGGGAGTTTGATGTCATTAATTACATCGATTATTTTTATGTGGTAGAATTATATTTCTGTGCAGAAATTTTGATAAAAGAAATAGAAACGTTAGAAATTATGAAGCAATGTTACAAATAGAAATTTTCGAGGATTAACTTTTGTGTGGAGTCATTTGTTTTTAACGATAAGGGTATATTCATGTTAATTTTGATTTACTAAACTAATTCTTTTCAGTCGAGTTTTAAGCAGACCATATCCGTATACGAACTCGTGCATTAATCTCAAGAATTATTATTATTGTTATAAGATTTGAACCGTAAATACTATATGGAAGACATACCTACTTACCTCCGTTGATCAATCCACTTTATCTCCTCCACCACAGCACTCATCACACCCGTGTCTAAAGATATCAATGGATCGAGTATAAAGCGAATATTCATTTTATTTGATCCAATAAATATTTATTGAGTATTGAAATAAATAAAAATAAAAATAATACAGATTTACTAATATGGTTTCAGAATATAGATATCTATTTTTTATTTTATTAATATTTACTAATATATTTTGATTTTTAAAAAACATATAGAGATTTAATTGTATAAATTTAAAAAATTAAAAACCAAAATTTTTTTTATAAGAACTTCGAGGATCAAAAAACTTATAGAGAAATGAGCAAAGTGTACAAAAATTAAATTTTAAGGACCAAAAAACTTTTTTGAAAATTATAGGAATTAAAATGATATATTTTTGATAAATTATTTTTATATATATATATATATATAAGCATGTAAATTAATGAAAAAAAAATATGAATCGGATAAATATTTATATAATAACTTTTAATGAATAATATATACAATATTTTTTTATGATTACAGTAAAAAAATTGAATTAATGAATCCAATATCCATTTATCACCATCCCTATCTCAATTCTTTCTAACCTTTTCTAAGTGGGTTTTTCTTGGTTCCTTAACATATCCTATCCACGTTGTGTTACATAAATATGGTAACTCACGATTCGAATCAAGAAATCGAAATGAAAACTCAATTTAAACTGTTTTAGATCTCGGTGCTAAACTATATAAGTACATAAAAAGAGAAGTAAATAAAATTACCATGAGCCTATTATCCCCCAACGTTGAAAATTAAACATTTAACAGTTTGATAATTTATATTGTTGCCATTGTACAGTGACATATGTAATAACCTAAAATTTATCCTTTTTATTTTATTTTATTCATTTTATTTTATTTTGATTCATGTATGTCTTGTTTTATTTCAATTGAACGTTAATAAAAAAAAAACAAAAACAAAAAACAAAAAAATATGATGAAAAACACAAAAATATTCATTCAAGGGGCGTAATTATACTTTAAGGAATGTATAATTAAGGTAATTAAGGGTATAATCTAACCAATTGAAAAATTTAGAACTTAAATTGCACTCTACAAGGACCCAATTGATAGAATTGTGCTTTACAATGACTGAAATTATACTACGTAAAGGCGTAATTGGTGAAACTAAAATGCACAAGGAACAAATTGGAATGTTGGAGCAGTACAACGAGATCGAAACGTAGAGGATGACTCCGTCATCCACTCCAAATCCAAATTCTCTCCGAAAATCCTTGGAAGAATATGCAAAATCTTCCACCAAATTTTTTGTTTTGATTTTGCATTAATCATGGATTCTTGGCCAAATCAATACCAATAGAAAAATCAAGCAATGATCAAATTTCTTGTTTTGATTTTGCATTAATCATGAATTAAAGAGGAAATATTTTGACGAAAAAATTTGGGATTGAGATTTGATTCTAGGAGAAATTCTAGGAAGTTTTTGGCTATAAAGCTGGTCCGATTTCATAGAAAAAAAAATGGCGGAATTCTGGTTGAGAAAGAGTGAAAAAACAAAAGCAAAAGATTCAAAATTTAGGGCGACAATTGCTGGGTTTCGGGTTTATGTTCTTGGTGTTCTTGGGGTTCGGGTTTTAGGTCATCGCTCGTCCGTCTCTTTTGGTCCTTTGTTTGGTGTTTTTCGGGATTGATTTTTCATCCTCAAGTGTTTCTCAATCCCACTTCCTAAAGTTTGGGTTCAAATTCTTCAATTACGGGGCTCTCTCCCCGAAGATTCGGGTAGTGTTCTTCATTTTCTAAGTAGCGTTGAATTTATTCTTCGGTGTTCTTCATAATTTTGGGTCCTTTTTTTGGATTTTAACTATCGTCCAAACAATCAACACCAATTGGGAGCTCCTCATCATCCGAGAATCAGCCTAGCCATTCATTTTTTGTATCCTCCCATCTCTCAAAGCAACAATCAATTGCTTCTCTTTAAGAAATCTTAGGTCGGTTTTTTTTTTCTTTTCTTTCTTTTATTTGCTTATTTTTCTAGTTTTTATGACTCGCCCTTTAAAGTTCTTGTTATTTGAGTTTTTTTTTTATTTCAACTCATTATGGATTTTAGCTTCGTTGAAACAAGGAAAATATAAATAGCTTAATTAACTTTTGGTTTGAAACAAGGGGTTTGATTCCAAAAAAGAAACTGGAAAAATAGAGAGAGAATAAGAAGATTTGGAAGAACATGAGAGAGAGAGAGAGTCGGTAGGGTGTTTGATCCTTTTTTTTAAAAAAAAAAATGTTCCCCTAGGCTCGTTTTTGTGTTAAAGCCCAATAAGTAAAAAAAGAAAAATGACGTACGGGCTAGACTCGGTTTTAGTCCGACCCACCCATTCCTTTTTAAAAAAAAATAAAAAATAAAAAAAAATAACAAGGGCTAGATTGTCCAGATCCGACCTAGTATGCCTCTTGAAAAAAAGAGACAAGAATGAGAGAGGTTGGAAGTCCAGCCTCTCTCGGAAAAAATAATAATAATAAAAATGTAAAAAAAAAAAAGAAAAAAAAAAGAGATGGGGTAGGATAAATAAGTTGTGGATTAATGGATTAGGTCTAGGATGATTTCTTTTTTTGATTTTATTCATTTATCTATCTATCTTATTTTTTTATTTTTTTCTAGCTTGTTTATTTTATTCCTTGACGTTTTTTCTTATATTAATTGTTACTTCAATGTCCTTTTTTCTTTTTGATGCGTTGTTAGATAAAATTATAAATTTTTTAGTGAAGTCTCCTACCTAGTAGGGATTGACGTCACAAAAGAAAAAATCTAAAATTTTGACGAAGTCTCCTACCTAGTAAGGACCGACGCCACCAAAAATATAAAAAATAAATAATAATAATTTCAACGAAGTCTCCTATTTGATAGGGATTGACGTCACAAAAAATGACCTTTTAATTAGGATGTCATCCGACACACCGGTTGTGTCATGGCCTATAGTGAATCCGATATTTGAATCGACATGTCGCTCAACGAAGGAGATCGACAATCGCTTCAATACGATGCCATGCCCGAAAATTAAAAATTCAATTCGGCTTTAAAAAATAGGAGTTTAGAAATCAGAAAATAATTTGATATTCTAGGAGATGAATTTAGAATTAAACCACATATAGTACCTTTTTTTGAAAATAGCACTTTTGAGTGATTAAATATCTTTTCAAAATCATAACCAATTCCTTGCCGTAAAATCTCCGAACCAAGTGCTTATTTTTAGGTTTCTAGTTCCTTCAATACTAGGCGGGAACTCTTAACATTGTAAATAACTTGTAAACCTTAGGTCATAATTTTTTTTTTGTCCCGTGCGACATCTAGTAATGACAACATATACATGACTTTTGAGAATGTAAATATGTCGTTTTCAGTGTTGACAATTTGTGTGTTGTTTTTTATCATGTGGTTTTTATTTATATATGGAAATGCAAAATTAAAATGACTATTTTCAACTTATTGACGAGACAGAATCGAAAGAAAAAAAAATGGAATACTAATGTTATCATATTCGTTAACAATTTTAATTTATTTATTATGATTTTGGAGGAAATTAAACTTTTGCTGTACGTTACTGATACTCAACGTTTAATTCAATAACCAAAACAATATGTTATACAAGAGACTCCTGTCTCTGCTCCCACAATGACACATTGTACAACATATCAAGCCATCCGCTTTTCTTTTTCTTTCTTTCTCTTTTATTTCCTCTTTTTTTTTTCTTTTTCAGACAATATTATTGTCAGTTTTTCCTCTTTCTCTTTAATTTGCACTATTAGTATTAATGAGTGGTTATTAATATTATTTTTGAATTTTTCAACCTACTCTTTTAAGTTAACAAAATAAAATCCACTTACTAATATAAACTTAACAAAATACGATAAAACAAGAAATATTAGTGAAATTAAATACAGAAGGGCATATCTGTGATAGAGAAATTTTACGATTTCTTCATTTATATATTATTTAGTTTAGGGGTGTAAAATAAGAAATTTTACTGAAAGAAAAATGAATTCAAGAGTTTTTATTCAATTTTTAGTTTTATAAATGTAAAATAATATACATTTAATGAAAAAAGTTTGGAACTTTTAGTCAATAAGCCTTAACTTGAGTAGCATTTATAATATGATGATGCTTATTATAGATGCATTTGATCAGACAATTAATTGCATAATATTATATGTTGTTAATCAGATTTTAAGAGAATTTCTATTGGGCTCATTATTTCGAGACATTTATATTGACCTTCATCATTTTGCTATGATCTTCGATGTCCCACTTTTTAACAAGTCTACGTCAACCTTAACTTGAGTAGCATTTATTTATTATCGTCTATATATATGCAAAGCAACCTGCCAAAGACCAAGAGGTCAATTGGTGGATCGTTATCCACATCTCATACATGAATCGTGTTCAAGTTGTTACCACTCTTAAGTCATTGAAAATCAAGTTAATAATTATTCATAACTTTAATTTCTTTTGTTTTTGGTTTTTTTTTTTTTTTCCGATGAGATGTGGAAGTATAGTTGTCAAGTTGGATGATTTTATGCCTAATCAGTAATCTGGGCCGGGTTTCATGTTAGGAGTATGTTGGACATTCGTCCAGTCCAACCTAGACAATCTGCCTTGACCCATTTAGGACCCGCTAGCCGAATATGAAACCTAAAAACAATTAATTTTGGTAAAAAAAAAAAAAAAAAAAACACCGATCCCTCTACTCCATCGGTTCTATCACAAAGGTCCGTTAGTTTGACTTTTAGAAATTAGTTAATCAAAATTTGGCAAATTAGATTGGAATACATGTAGTCAACCACGCCTAAAATTATAAATAAAAAATCAAAAGGTAAATTAAGATTATTTTGAAGAAGAATAAAAAAAGTAAAAATTATTCTGCCCCTTAAAAAAATTGAAGAGTTTAAAATGAACACACTTTAGTCTTGCCTAATTTAACCCAACTATTGCGTAAAATAAAAAAATTAATAAATCAACCATCAACATTCTAAAGAATACTTTATCAATATTGGTCATCTATATATATATATTCTTATAAAAGAGGAAAT